TAATATCTTATGTGTTCTTTAATCTTATTGAATTTTAAGCCTTTCATCACTCATAATCTTGCTTCATCACTATCGCTACATCTGCAGATTGAATTGATTCTATATAATCACCATGGTAAGTATCATTTCCATAAAGAAAGCAGCTTTAAACTGGTGATCCCAACGAAATTCATAAATTTTATTCTATAGAGGCAACTATCCAAATAATGTGTTGCTCAATAAACATCTTGAACAACCTCGAATACGATGAAAGGTTGGGTTATAGTAAGCTTTTGTTATTGTTTCATTTGGTCGTATAACTTTTTACTGAGGTTATGTTTGGCCAAAATATTTGTAAAGATTCATTACACCTTTATATTATTTGCCAAGAGCTGATGCCCACATCTTCGTTCGTGTGGACTCATACCAAAGTTTTTGTAAGCATAAATTGTATGTTCTGGACTGAGTAGATTATAACTTAATTAACATATAAAGGTAGAATTATTTTTGTACCGAAATTCTACAGCCTGTTGAGGGTGCTAACGGTATATATGATTAATAATAATATTTAAGATGGAATTAATAAACTTTATAGTTGTTTTTTTTATTCGGGTGCCAAAATATAAAGCCCAGAGGGTTGTTAACCCTTGAGACAACAAGGCAAAGATGGTCATTAGAAAAACAGGTAATTTTCAGTTCAACACCAGCAGCTTTTATTCTCTCAACAGCATATCAAAGTCTATCAGAATTCAATGGTTTATTGCGCTGTTTTTCTAACTTTGCGTACTTCAGAAATTGTTTCTATCTCATTTTCTGGTACATCTAAAGATTTTGGGCAATATATGATGATGGTCAGCTTTTCACTGGCTTCACTGGATTCTAGAGACCGAAGACTATATCGGTTTTTATTCTTAGAAAATTCGATCATGTGTCCCTATATCGTTAAAATTCAAAATGGACGTCCGTCCGGAAGCGAAGAAGTATGCGTGCTTTAACTACGTTATCTTCTTTGCTGAAATCTCCAAACATATCGTTTTATCGTTTCGTTAATCTCGTTTTATGTCTGTATATGTAAGTATAGTTACATAATAGCCTATTCCTACAAAACCTCTTCCACCTCTATTGTGCACCCCGTCCCGTCTAATTGTGTCCACATCATCCTCAGGTTTACTGGTAGAAAATGGCCATGGCATTAAGTAAGCCAATGTGTATTTGTGTAAAAAAAGTTAATAAATAAAAAAACTATGTATTATTAAGAAGTCATTTTTATCCGAAGTTATAGTATAACTAGTATCTTTGAGGACCACATTATATGTTCCGGATCTTCGACTTTTGAACATTAGCAGAATATATTGATCAGGCGCAATATATTTTTTATGGTGTCGCTGGTCTGTTGTGGTGGTGCATCAAATGTTTAAGTTTCCAAAATTAATTATACCCCATATATTGCCCAGGTATTAACAAAATAAGTTTCATACAAATATACTCACTAGTCCCGAAAATAAACGTGTACATACAGATAAACAGACAATATTTTTTAAATTTCGTATTTTTTATAATTCGTATTCTATTACTGTTTATTAACCACCCTCAATTTCTTTATTTTTTGTAAATATATTCAATGTACAGACATTACTTTTTTGCAGATTTGTTATAAGTATAAAACGTGTAACAGAAATAACACATATCCTTATACACCCCAATTAGAAAATGGATTTATAATCATAGAACGAAAATAAGAATGTCACTTTTATGTATTAAAACATAGTTTATGACACAGTTATACTTATTGCTGGGTAACGGTGTGGACATCTTACAAAACAACTCAATGACGTGAAAATTACGGCTAAGCCTGTAACTTCAAATGTATGTACTTACAGCGCAATACAACAATGATACCACTTATCTACCAAAACAAATTCTTGACATGAAATATTACTCTGTTTCGAGATTCAGTATTTTTTAAGTTAAGGCAATAATTATGATTCTTACTAATTATAAATATCAACTAGCATAGTCTTACTATCACATATCCCATAATCCTTAAGTACCACAGGCCTTCCTTATGGATGGTTAAGGAGGATGGGCCATGACGCCGGGACCAACGGCTTAACGTGCCTTCCGAAGCACGGAGTAGTTTGAGATAATAATTTTTTTGGTCACTCATCCCGTGACCGACCCTTGCGAAAGTTGCTTAACGACTACGATTGCAGGCCGCGGCGCTTATCCATTACGCCACCGAGCTATAAAAAATGTCTGACGGCAATCCTTAAGCACTTCGACGTATTAACTGTGTTAGTACGATATAACGAAGAATAAACAAACTACTTTCAGAATGTGCGTTAATTATGTTACACGTTGTATATAGATATACAGCGGATGTAAAGTATTTAATCGCGTTTAGTTCCTGCTGCTATAGAGGCTCTAGAAATTTTACTACATACTTATATGTTTACTCATAAACTCGAAAGTAAAATTATCTCTGCTTAGATAATAAAGGACTTAATAAGGATTCGATGCAACAGTTTTTTTTTTTCTATATTTTTAAATATAGCTACAGCTGTTGTGATACACCTATAAGTCATATTTTTAGTGCAAGTAATATATTTTTTTATAAATCGAAGACAATTTTCTTTTATAAAAAAATACATTTTCCATGACAAAAACAATCTAAGCCAATGATAACTTTTTCTATAAAAACTTTAGTGAATTTTAGTTTAATAATTGTAGTATTATAATTGTATTGGAATTCATAAAAAGAGTGTTTTTGGATGACTTTGCCTTCCCTACAAGCTCTATATCTTTAATGTACTATTTAAAATATGCATAGACTTTTAAGATATTGTTTTTGAATCAGTTCCCTTTGAAGTATCAAATAAAAAATGTCTGACGGCAACTTTGATCATCTATATGAATGGGATTAATAAAATGATTGTGTTTTAATGGTTTTATCCTAACCGGTCACCAGTCCTGTACTCTGATGATGCGTGAGTATTACAAAATATCTCTCCACCTCCATAAAAGGATCATGGCTAGAGGAAAAAATAACTCTTCTTCAAGTTATGAAAACAGGATATGTTTTATTAACCCCAGTCCAAAGATCAGGAAGAGTCCAATTCTTAACGCATTAATTATTTTTAAATGACCATGAAATGTTCGACAGCAAGACGATGGTAGAAATAGGCGCATGTACCCTATATTTTCATAAAAACGATTCTCAAATTGCTGTCATTCACCTCCTCCGGCAAGTTCGATATGGATATGTGTACTAACTACAATGACTTCCAATCAATATTGCATATGGTGAATATTCGTTTCCGTAAAGCCGACCTACCAAAAATACGTACAATTAAAATGTATGAAAATATAAATGGTATGAAAGTCCGTCTCAGTCATACTCGGCGGGGATTAGGTGCCATGACGTGATATTTGGTTTATTCTGATTGGCCGACATTATCAGGTACAATCAGCAGCAAGTCAGGTTACTGCAGTCTATCGAATTATTTTTAAATTATTTTTTAATTCTTTTTTTAATTATTTTTAGCTCTACCTATAATACATTAAGGTTTAAAATCGAGTGAAGAAATGTGATGTGATGTGTGGTATCATAAGTGATTTTATAAAGTTATTTCATATTTCTTTTAATTTTAAATCTTTTCATTGTTCAATGCAAAGCATTTGACCTTTTTTCAAAAATCAATGAATTAGAATAAAATTCTGAAACATGAAAAAGACAAAATAATAGCATCTTATTTTGTCGACCCAAAAAGAAAAAACATACTTGTCTTTTCTAAGCCCCATAAAAATCTGGAGTAAAAAGAAATTATTCCTTGCTTGTAAAAAAATTCAGCGCCACCTATTGTGTTAGCACTTTAGAGAGCTAACTCAAAGCACTTGATGGTTATAAAACGTCATTGTTATTAGTACAAAGTTTATCTGCTGGCGCTGAACCGATAGGCATTTGTTATTCTTCTGAGGAACGTGCAATGAGCTAACCCACACTAGCGTAGACACCTGTAATTATGTAAGGGGGCGTGTCGATTTCTAAAAATCATTCGGTGTCCTCAGCCTCTTAAATTGTTTGAATATCCAATGATATAATAAATACAATACAGGGCTATAAAAAAACGTTTTAATGATTACACCAATGTATATAAAATATATGTATAATCTTTTTGAAACGTTCTTGTTATGATATTTTCATATATAATAGTCAATATCGAAATAAAAACTTCACTTATCTTAGTTTTATTTTAGTAGTCTACATGCCAACGTATATTAACGAATTAATTCTTTATAAAGAAAAAGCATCAACACTAGTCACTGCTAGTTACCGGTCAATTCGTAAACACGCTATAAAATTAAGAAATTTAATTGATCTTTAGCTTCTTTTCACCAATTTTACTATAAACATTAATAACAATAACTCTCGCCTGAGATATCATTTGCTTTTTGGCAATTATAACAATATAAATACACTTTGACTTAACGATTTATATTGCTACATGAATAGCGATATAGAAACATGTTGCAGTTTTTTGAATTAAATTAAGCTTAATTAAATTAAAATAAAACATGCTTAAAATTTTGGCAATCAAAGATATATTAAAAATTTAAAAAATCCAATATGTTTGAATAAATAATGTTAATAACGGGAAACATAACTTATAAAATAATATTAATGTATTAATTCATATCATTTTGTTCTATTAATTATTGCCATCTTGTAAGTAGGGACATGATCCCATCGCTATAGAAATTTTCATCAAAAACAGCGACTTGTGGTTTTAGTAGGCCGCGTGTGATGTTAACCTGACACTGCCTAAAGCATTCTGAAGAGGCCGAAACAGGTAGAAATCCAAACTCTCTTAAACTTTGCCGAATGGCAAAAGATTTGTGAGGTCTAGCGTTGTTATGATGAAAAACCACATCCCTTCCAACGAAAAGACTTTTCTCCAACCTAATATTTAATAATAAATATTAGGTCGGAGAAAAGTCGATAATGTGAGAAAACAACTCACTATGACTTCCTTGGTTACTCCCACATATGGTGGGGACAGGATTGCCCCCTGATACAATAAATTGATCTTGATTGCACACATGGTTGGTAGGTTCCGGTCCGGCAATAGTAAAACGGTTGAAGTCCAATCTGAAAATAATAGGGCAGTTAGATCAGAACAAAACTTAAATTTATACTTTTTGATATCTTTGCATTTTATTCGACTTTATAACAAAAAAAGAACACTAAATAAAGAAAATAATATATATATTTTTAAGATGTTATTGATATTAAGTCTAACTGTCACCTGTTGTCAGTCTCATCCTTGCCTATTAGTTGTCTTTCACAAGACCAGCCCGTCTGCAAGCAAAAAGTTTATAACATTCCCACCCCCAGTATTGTGAGACAATACTTAGTCAGGGAGGGGAGTGGTGTCAAGTCAGGTCTTGTTAGCTGTCAGATTTAGTCAGTCGTCAGATCCTGTGACTCGACCGTCAATCCAGTCAAAGTCCAGTCTTGTCTAGGCGGAAGTTGAAGTCGGTGGTCTAACGTCCAGTCGGCAAAGTTTGGTCACTGGTCGTTTATAGTTCCCTAGGGCAGTCTTAATATCAACTACTCTTACTTGTCCGTCGGATCCGGGATAAATTTTGGTCACTAGTCCCCTGGGCCACAAGTTTCTTGGCTGTCGATCGTCGCATATAATAACTACGTCACCTACTTTCAATGGTTCCATTCTCTCGAACCACTTACCTCGTCTGGTTAGAGTAGGCAAATACTCCTTTCGCCACCGCTTCCATACGAGGTCTGCCAGTCGTTGAGAATGACGCCATGACTTTCGTAGTAAATCCCCATCGACGAAGCTGTCCAAAGTTTGCGTCGTGAAGTCACTCTGTCCGCCGAAAATAAAATGGTTGGGGGTCAAGGGTGCGTCATCATTGTGGTCGAGTGAGACATGAGTTAGTGGTCGACTGTTAACCATGTACTCTGTCTCAGTCAGTAAGGTTAGTAAAATATGTTCTGTTGGAGTCTGTTCTGTCAAAGTTATTTTCAGTGCAGTCTTTACGGCTCTAACCATTCTCTCCCAACAGCCACCATGATGCGGGGAGTTAGGACAAATGAACTTCCAAAGGATACGGCGTACACTTAAAAATTGTTTTAGTTTTTCTAAGTCTATATTGTCAACATGTCGTTTTAACTCTGCGTCCGCCCCTTTAAAAGTTGTCGCATTATCACTCCAAATTTCAAACGGTGTCCCACGTCTAGCCATAAAACGTCTTAAAGCCATAATAGCACTGTCAGAAGTCAGATCGTCTACTAGTTCAATATGTATAGCCCTAACTGTCATGCAAGTAAACAGGGCTGCATACCGCTTTTCATGTCTTCGTCCAATCTTAATAGTCATCGGTCCAAAATAGTCTAGTCCAGTGTACGCAAAAACCTTGATTGGGGTTAATCGGCTAATAGGAACTTGACCCATAAGTGGTGGTGTCGGTAAAACGCGGAAATTTTTACATACCTGACAGATACGCCAGGCTGCTTTAACAGCTGATCGCCCTCGTAAAATCCAAAACTTTTGCCGGATATCATTAAGGACCTTTTCTTTGCCAGTATGGGCAGCATCAAAATGATACTGCATTACTAACAATTTCGTGTAATCGTCGGTAGGTGACAAAACAATCGGATTTTTTGTGCTATAGTCAACCGTTGCGGAGTCTATACGTCCACGTGCTCGTATGATTCCTAGCTCATCCATAAAAGGCACTAACTGAAAAATACGACTATCTTTATCGACTGTATTTCTAGTTGTTAGGGTATAACAGTCATTGGGAAACGATCGTTGTTGGCTATCTTTAATAAGCAATAACTCGGATTCTTTGATCTCATCAGCTAAAAGTTCACCATCTCGGCGTTCACCTTTGTTCATCAAATTACTTTTGAAGCGCAAAATCCAAGCTGTCGTGCGAACAAGTCGCCAATATGATGAAAATCGAGTAATATCAGGTAACCCGTCATTTATAACGGTTGTGATTACATATGAAATCTTCACTTCAGGGTCGGAATCAAGATTCAAGTCTGTCATTCTAGTGTCTTCAACAGGCCACATACTCTCGTCCTGTTTAAGAAAGTCAGGTCCATTTACCCAAAGAGAGCTGGCCTCCTGAGATAACTTCTCTCGTGTCGCGAGGTCAGCATTGTTGAGATGAGTAGGAACCCACCTCCATTCACAAGGATCGGTAAGATCTGCAATTTCGCTGATTCGATGGGCGACAAAGGGTTGGAAACGACCTGCATCCGATCTAATCCAACTCAATACTGTCTTGGAATCAGACCAATAAACGACACGACTAATCATAAGATCGACATGCCTCTTTATCGAGTGTGCCATTCTTGCCCCTAGTAAAGACCCTTGAAGTTCTAGTCTGGGTACACTCAAAATCTTCAATGGTGCTACCCGTCCTCTAGACATAATCAAAGATACATGATAAGTGTCGTGTGCGACTGACCTCATGTAAGCCACTGAAGCAAAGGCTCTGGTACTAGCATCACAAAATATGTGGACTTCGACAGGACCCTTTGCGTCCGACTGCATGCATAACAACCATCTAGGCACCTGTAGATTGACCGCTTGACGCAGTTCTTGTAACCAAGATTTCCATCTTTCATGAAGTTCATCTGTTACTTCATCGTCCCATCCTATTTTTGTATTCCAAATATCTTGTAAGATAATACGTGCTTTGATTATTATGAATAACAAAAAACCTAAAGGGTCAAACACTGACATACAGACCTTTAGGATATGACGTTTAGTAGGGTGTTTATTACTTTGGCTGTCAACCATGTCCGTTAGACTAGTGAAAACAAAATTATCACCACTTGGCTTCCACTTGACACCAAGCACCCTTTCTACTGCCAACTCTGGCATATCATCTAAAGTCTTAGCTCCAGAAGTTGACAGTTTATCTACAGGTAGGTGTCTCAATACGTCCTTGGAGTTACTCATAAAGCTCGTCATATTAAAGCCTCCTTGAGCGTGAATGTCGATCACGTCATCGACTAACCTTATTCCTTGGTCAATTGTGTCCACTGAAATTATCAAGTCGTCCATATAATGGTGGTCCGTAATTGCTCTGACAGCATCGGGATGTGTATCTGAAAACCTGAGAGCATTCACATTTTTGACATATTGTGCAGATGATGGTGAGCAGACGGCACCAAATATCATGACATTCATTTGATACTGTCCATCTTCCCACAGAAACCTTTGGGCATGTTGATCTCGCTCAGTGATCAGTACTTGATGGAACATCTCTTGAATATCTCCCATGATAGCATAGCGGTGACATCTAAATTGGAGTAACATACCTGGTAATGAATTTAAATAGTCAGGTCCTGGCAATAGAAAATCGTTTAGAGACTTACCCCCTGACTTTGCTGCCGCATCAGTCACAAATCGCAATTTATTTGGCTTATTTGGGTTGAAAACGGCAAAATGAGGTAAATACCATGTTTTGTCAGTCCGACAATGTGCCTCCTCGGATGTCAGTTTACGAGCATAACCCTTTTGTTCGTAGTCTTTGATCTTCTCCCGGTACTTTTGAGCAAAATCTGGAAGTTTTGTCATCTTCCTCTTGATGCCTTGCAGTCTGACAAATGCTTGGTCAAAACTGATAGGTAGTTGACAGCTCTGGTCCCGCCAAAGAAGACCGGTCTCCCATCGCTTACGCTCAGGTATATAGCGTGTGGTCGCTTTCAAAAGTTCCAAAGCTCTTTTATCTTCACGCGAACGGGGTGTATCTGAGTTAACTTTAACACCAAAGTCTTCAGTCCGAAAAGTTTTCTTGTAAGTATCATTCAAGTCTTCGCATGAACACTGAAACACGATCACGTCATTTGACAGGCTACCAGTAGAAATAGTACCATGCAAAACATACCCTAAATTAGTAAAAGAAATCATCGGTCCACATTTCGGTCCTTTTATTATTTGTCGAGTAATAATAAGGTCGATATTATCTTGTCCAATTAGTAATTCAATCTTTCTAAATTTAAAGTCACTTTCGTCAAAATAGTCTGTCAAAAAATCGAATCTACTAACAATATTTTTATAACAAGTATTAACAGGTAATTTTAAATTCTGTATAGTTCTAACATTAAATATATTATACACTTTGTCACTGTTACGACCGCGGACTTTAAACGAAACGCAACGTGATGAAGAGTCGAACGAAGACATGCCGTGCGCGCCACATATACGCAAGGGGCGTGTTGGGCCGTCAATGCCAGCGCACTCGGCAAGCGACGCGTTAATCAGGCTTACTGATGCGCCCTCGTCTAGTAGAGCAGCTGTCTCGAAGTCTCCGTTTCTTCCGCTGACTACAACTCGAATAACTTTCAGCATTACCTGGCTAGATTGTACTGAAGAATGAGTAGTAGCGATCACCACTTCGTTGTCTTCATTTTCCAGTTGCGTTGTGGAACGTGGCGGGTATGAAGGGCCGTCATTGGTTGGTGTCGTCTGTTTTGGCTCATTATGTAGAAGTTTATGATGCATGAGCCCACATCCTGGTTCTCCACACTTAAATCTTGTTTTACAATTCTTCAATTGATGTCCAGGTGAAAAACAAGAAAAACAAAGTTTAGATTCTGTAACATACAGCCATCGATCGTCTATAGACAGGCAAAGAAAATCAGGGCACTCCTTTATATAATGATTTTTCTTGCATTTATAGCACTCTATATTTATTCTACTCGTTGTCATAATAGGAAAGTTTTTATTATTACCTCTGTTCTGCTTGGGATTTTTCGTGTCAACTGAAGAATATATGTTAGGACACCTTGCAAATTCAGCTGTAGATTTTGCTACTTCCATCAACCACTCGGCGATATCTTCGAGGGAAATATCAATCATACCTCGTCGTGACTTGTCTAGACCCCACTGATATTTCAAAATTGACGGTAATTTGGCTAGTACATCTCTGATCAGAATAGGATTTCTAAGATGGCCAATCTGGTCGGTCGAAATCATTATAGCCACCATGTTCTGTATATCCGTAGCATACTTCACGAGATGTGTCATATCATCGTGTCGTATGTCTCGCTGAGATCGAATCTTTAACAACATGCTATCGATTATGATGTCTGGTCGTCCAAAT